ACTCGGTATTTACAGTACTTTCGTGCTGTCTTAGTCCAATACCAACGATGATGATGATGATGATGGTGGTGATGATGATGATGATGCTGATGATGATGATGATGATGATGACGATGAGGATGAGGATGAGGAGGAGGAGGAGGAGGATGAGGAGGAGGAGGAGGAGGAGGAGGATGAGGATGAGGACGAGGATGAGGATGAGGATGAGGATGAGGATGAGGATGAGGATGAGGATGAGGATGAGGATGAGGATGAGGATGAGGATGAAGATGATGAAGATGATGGTCGTGATGATGATCATGATGATGATGATGATCATGATGATCATGATGGTCATGATGATGATGATGACGATGATGACGACGACGATGATGATGATGGTGATGATGCGCCAGGCGGTTGGTAGAAGGGGTGGCTAGTAGTAGTAATAGGAGTAGGAGGAGTAGTAGCAGCAGTAGCAGTAGCAGTAGCAGGAGGAGGAGGAGTGTTAGCAATCTGTCAGGGTGCTCCCAAGACACACTTCCACACATCGAACACATTGCGCAGGCAGTTGTGGAGGAATTCTTCAGCAACTCAGCTTTGCTGGCTTTAACACAAAACTCGGCTATTGATATCTCAATCTACCCTCCTCCCCTCCCCCACAAACCAGAAAATCCTGCGGACCGTTCAATTTAACCCCCCGCCCTCCGATAAATTGATACCCCTGCTTCGGGTCCTGGTCTGCTTGCTAAAACAGCTTTTGTGATCTGAATCAGCCGGCACCATGAAAGCTGAAAGTTCGCGAGCGAAAATATTCGAGGGGCTTTCGAAAGCACGGCACTCAGTTGGCCTCTGACATCTCTGGGCAGATCTCATAGACGCCTACCGTGTTGGACCAAATCGACCTGAAGCAGATCACGTGGCCAACTGATTTCAGCTCGGGTCTTCAACGAGCTGGCGCGAAAGGCTCCCAAATGCCCATCCGCCTCGACAGAGCTCGATGCCTGGCCCAACAGTTCGATGCTCTTGGAATCATCGCAACACAAGAGCTGCACTTGCAGACTGTAGTCGGGACATGTCCGGACCAAGAACAAACCCACACACGACAGCAAGGAACGTCTCCCATGATCGTCAGCTGACACAACAGACCAGACACCTGCAAATCCCTTCAGACGGAGCAGGATCGTATCTGGCCGTCCCGCCTGGAGGGTAGAACTGGTGCTGTGCCAGGCTCCACCTACTCAAAGTGTTGGGTAAGCCGTCAGACCGGGAGTGGCTTCAGCTGGGCCTTTTTCTCAAATACGCTCTGACCGAACTTGATCTGGCTCTAACTTCTCAAACTCTCGAACTGATAGACTCGTACAATGCAAATCAGATGCCCGGATCCACGCTCGAACACGCACACCGTGACGTCCAGCCAGCAAGATTCTACCCTTGCCCTCTCTCCCTCTCTCCCCCTCTCCCCTCTCCCCCTCTACCTGTCCCTCCCTCCCTTCCTCCCTCGACATCTGTCAGATCTTTTCACTGTTGAAACTTTGTTGCAATAGATCCCGAGGGATACATGCCCTCGCACAGTGCGGTTCCTTCCAATGCGGTGGCCTTTGTTGGAAAGAAGGATGCTTGGCAGGTCAACCGTTGGCGCGATATCGTTCTTGCGAAGTACCAATATCTGAAGATGGGAGTTTGGCCTAAAGCGCATTCAGATAGCAAATTCCTGAAGTTTGCGGGAGGTGGTTAGCCCTAGAAATCAACATAGGTTGGCAGACGTTTGGCTGACCGTTTAGACTTGTTTCCATAACCCCTAGATAGCCTGGACGTGAAATCTGAATTGGCGGTGCGATGTCTCGGCCCGTATAGCCTGATCTGAGTTTGGGACTGAGCCGAACAGGCTCACGCTTTCCTATCTTGGGTCCTTTGACATCTCGACGATCTGAGACTACAAAACCAGAGCTCGGGCCAGTTCCCGGAGGAGCCACGGTTGGGACGAAGGGGAAGAAGGGGTTGTAGCCGCCGGACCGCACAGTCTTCGCAGAATCCTTCATACCCCCGCTGCCTGCCACTTCGGTGCATCTGAGAAAAGGCCACCGTCCACCTTCCGCAGATGCTGCACTTGCCTGCACACAGGTGCCGAAATCTTGCCGTGTGGGCGTCAATGCATCCGCCCACCTTGTAGAGCTCAGCGGCTCCTTGACTGCCACATGCGAAAGCAGATCTTGGAAACTGCTGCATTTTGGGAAATCGGCTTACGTAGCTCCACCCTGGCCGCCTGACCCCCGACACGTTCCCCCAGCTTTGCTCTGAGAGACGATGGTCTGGATCAGGGGACTGGACAGAGAGCGTGAAACCATGCCTTGCCTTGGCTTGACGAAGAAATTAAACAGATCGTTCTTGTAGCTACAAGCGAGAAAGGCGTGGTACAGCCATGCACGTGCGCAAGCAGCTAGTCAAGTTTTGACCAAGCGGCCGGAAGACCACTAGCCAGCCGCTCGCCGCTCTGTACTGAGACTCACCGCAGTCGTTGGCACACCCTTGTTTCCTCGAGTTATCTAAACATGTACGACAACTACCGGCATGAGTCACCTGACTCTTGAAGCGGACCAGCTCATGCATATGCAATCAGGGACATGCTCATAATGTACGATGAGCTGTCAGTCTTAGACATCTCGGATATCGAGTAGGATCATGTGGGTAAGCACTGGAGTGTTCTGTCACCCGTCGTTCTCCTTGGGCCATAACGCTTCGCTTGCAAAGGTCTCCGAGTCTTAGCCTCGTTCGCACACGCAACTTAGCTACGCTTGGCGTGTGGCCCTTGCACACTAAGGTGTACCATGGTGTGCCTTTGAGGTCGTGTTTTATGCCTGGTAATCTACCAACATGCCAGTTTAGGACCTCGCCAAGCTGATTGTCGTGCCCGCTGCGAGTGGCAGACCCAGGAAACCCTCAGTGAG